TTTTTTTTTAAAATTGCACTTGCATTTAAAAGGAGGTCCTGTAGTCCGTCTATTTCACAAGGAAATCATTCAAAATCAATCAGCAAGTAAAACGTAACATGCGTAGTTACTACAAAGCCGGCCACTGTTAATAAAAAAACGTGGTATTAATTTCCACAACATAAGTCAAATATGTTTTAAATACTGTGATAAGTGGAGATGCGCAAGGACACTAGCGCGTCAAAACAATACACTAAGTTTTTAGACAGTAAAAGATAGGCAAGTAAATTTGCAGAATATAAAAATGTAAAAATGATTCAAACATGGTAGATCCGTGGGTTTGTGTGTCCGAGCAGCTCTGAAATTATCAAGATGCGTAAAAAGGTTCACCGTCTGCAAACACGCGCTCCAGCCAAGCCAAAACTACAGTTCCTCAAATACCAAACGTTGTAAAGACAAATGATCTTTGCATAAACAGTTCCATGTCAGAGAAGGGAAAAAAATCCACGAAGGAATGCTCCAGTTAGGGTTGGACTTTAAGACTTGAATAATTGCTTTCAATATTTTATAAAATACACTTCCTCAATATCAGCGGAATAAAAAGAAACAGAGAATACGAATAGGCTACTTAAGTCCTTCTATTCGTTTCTCCATTATTTTATTCTTATACCATTGTCTTCTTCTAGACGTTTTCTAGAAGTTTGCGCATCAGTCACCGGAGTGAACTGACTCGAGTCTCACTGAGCGCGCCCGCCATGACGTCACGCAGATACCCTCTTCTCATGACGTCACGTCAGAGAATCACTCCTTCTCAGGGTTACCAGCCAGTTGTGCAATTTATAAACCTGTAATTTTATTATATATTTTTTAATTTATAGTTGTTAGTAGCTCAAACGGAAACCGCGTCTAAAAAGAAACGTTACGGGGAAAAAAGTGCCAAAGCAATTGAAAGTGGATTACTGCAAGAGGAGGAAAACAAAAACGAAGCAGAGTGCAAAAACGCGTTATGTGTGAAAGAATCATTTGTGAGACTTGTACTAGTTATTTCTGCAACATCATTCCCCATGCTCTTCTTTAGTTGATTTTATATTTATATAAATTTAAAGATACTTACAGAAGATTTCAGGTTCCCATAATGGAGTACCAACTCCCTGTGCAACTTACGCAAAAGAGGTCTGGCGAATAAAACTAAAAACTTATACCCATATATCATTATTTAAAAGGCCACAATTAAAGGTAATGAAGCATACAGTTGACTAGAATCACTACGCATATTAAGGCTGCCTTTATAAAATACAATAAAACGATATCAGATGAAATGAAACCGATTTAGCTCTCCAAACATGGAAGATGGATAGTGATTAGCCAACATGCTGGTGAAATTAAACTCAAACTCACTAAAGAATCCAAAAGAAAAACACTACGCTGCAATATGCTATAAAATTGACCTTTATGCGATGGTACTGTATGTACATTTGTGCCTCATACTTCTTTTTGGTAACACAGACTCCACTCACATTGTCCACCTAAAAACGCACAGTGACTACCACCTACTGGACAAAACAAAAATTACAATAAAAACAAGAATTGAGGACATATGCATTTCTATTTTGAAACCTTTATTTGTCCTCCTAGATTCAAAATTCCTCTGTCATCAAGTAACCATTCAAGATTTTGCTTGATCCTTATTGTGTCTCGTCTGAAATGAAGAAAGTAGATTCATTCAGGAAGAGCAGCTGGAACTCTCAATGTCAAAGTCACCGAACAATGGCAAGGCAAAGATAAAATCAATAAATAAGTGCATCAGGTCTTTTAGAGATACTGCTATTGATTCAGTTCACTTCCTCTCCTCAGCCGTCAGAACTCTAGTGGGTCATAATAGTGTCTGACAGGTCAATTCTTGGTCTATATACGGCTTTCCATTTTTATACTGCAAATCCTGAGGTTTTGTCATTTTTAGGCATCTCAGTTTCTTACATTCCTAGTGTTATTTTAGCATTGAGAGCCTATTATAGATTTTTTTTTATCATTTTGAATTAGTATTTTATATTTTCCCTTTTCATTTGAAATGTTTTTTTTATCAGCTGTTTGGACGTTCATTCTGACGGCACCCATTCACTGCAGAGGATCCACTGGTGAGCAAGTGATGTAATGCTCAATTTCTCCAAATCATCTACATCTTGGATGGGTGAGTACATTTTCAGCAACTTTTCATTTTTAGGTGAACTATTGCTTTAAATTCATATTTTGCATCAGTTAACCTTTCATTTCAAGTAACAAATCTATTTGATGTTTTTAATTTGAGTTAACTATAATATCCCTGGTATGATAAATGTGCACATATGACGTACCACAGTGGTACAGCCTCCTGATCCTTTGCACATCCAGATCAGACAAGTGACTCTTCTGGCCGATCGTTACACTGCTCTCTTTGGGCTCAATTGTGGGCATTCCATTGCGAGAGAAATAATTGCTGCAAAACAGAACTAATGAAATGCTCGGCCAGCCAAAAGCACATCATGCACCCAGACAGCCATGCAAACTATTCCGGGATACGTTTCGACTGCAACTCTTACGTTCCATAATGCATGATTGATTCCAGGTCATACTTTAGACCGAGGGTGTTCCCCTTTTTCTTCACAAAATTGTCCTCTTTCCCTGTAAAATAAAAACATATTTGATACTTTAAGGCCTCTGAATTATCAACATGATCAAAACTTTGCTGGAAAACCTGTTGCACTCAATCTACAATCAGGCTTTTGAGAATGGTTTTTGTTCATTTCTCAATCATCACTGTATTTCATTGTTTTCCACTCCACAATAAAACTAGGCATTTTTTCTCACTGACTAACTATTACAGTACTTCACAAGTCAGGCTAAACTGGGTTAAAGAAACCTAAACTAAACTTTTATTTATTTTAAATGGTAAAACGATGTTGCAAAAGTGCAACAGTATGATCCCAGACTAAACTGAAATTATGTATACTAAAACTACTACTCTAAATTATGACAGGAATTCCATTAGCAATTTTTAAATTGTGCTGAAATGCTGAATTAACGTAGTAGTATGCATACTGTACCAGAGGCAATGTTTTGACAAAGACATCGAATTACACTCCCTATAAATGAGTTTTTTTTTTAATCTGTGACTCACCCTTTTCCGTACTCAAAGTGCAAATAGTCGGTTTCATTAGCATGTGGATGAAATCTGACGCACGTCTTCGCGGAAATCATATTGGCATTAAGAATGTCTTTAGTCCTGTCCTCTGAAGACTGCAAACAAATACAGAAACAAACATTACTTCTCTGAATATCAATGTATCTTCACCTGATATTACTTAAACACACGACTTACAGATCTAATCATTGAAACTGTGACTATACCACTAGAGCACACTAAGGTATTAGGGTAATATCTGCAGAAAACACAGCACCAAACATGCAGAAAAACTCACCAAGAGTAAAATCAATTTCATAAGGCACTGACAAACTTCCATCCACCTCAGCCCACAGCTGACTCACTGCATTCCTGTCAGTCTAAAGAAACACATAGGCAACTGTTTTCGTATCACAAGTGTTCTGAAATATGCAAATGAGGCACTATACTGTATATTAAATAAGCACTGGTTTCATTTTGTTGACATACAATAGAATATAATATAGATAGTGTTTTGATGTAAGTCCTACTTAAAGGTATAGTTCATCCAAAAAACAAAATTGTCATCATTTACCCACTTCCATGGTATTTTTTTTTCTCCATACGCTGGAAATCAATGGCTACTGTCAATGCTACCAACATTCTTCAAAATATCTGCTTTCGTGCTCAACAGAAGAAAGAAACTCCTACAGGTTTGGAACAACCTGAGGGTGAGCAAATGATGAGAGAATTTTCATTTTTAGGTGAACTATCCCTTTAAGTGGAGATTTTTGGCTCAGCTAAAGAGAGAAAAACTAATTTTGAGAAACTGTCTTTAAAGATACATATTGTAATTGAAATCTACAGACACAAACAGATAAAGTGTAATAAAATAAACACTTTTTTCCCCAGAATACTCTTCCCCAGTATTCTGAAAGAATACTTATTTTGGAAGTAAAACAGCCAAAAATTGACAAGTGCATGAAGGGAAGGAAAAAAAATGTATGTAGTATTTTGCCTTAAATGTCAACTAGCTCTAGTCTCGATCGTGAATATAAAACGAGATTTGGGCTTACTGGCAGTAAGATATCCCCCTCCTGTACAGCATAGTCTCCCTCAAAATCTGTTAAAGACATTGATAAAGACATTAAATCAGGTCTAAATATCGGTCAATGCTGTTGCGTATACAGATGTCTTACCAAGCTGCGTTTCACTTGAGGTGGTCCACTCTGCAGTGAGTTAATATATCCTGTGGATAAAAGACATCATGTCATATAACTTAAGTTTAGTTTGTTAAAAAAAAAAAAAGCAGCACAGTTTTCCTTCATTGGCCTTCGATGTACCCACACGAGTTCCCCAGGCTTAAACACAAAAACAGCTTTATTTTAATTCGTATGCTATATCCATGAATGTAAACTCAGAATATAATGCATTTCTGATTTACTTGTGACAGATTTGTGTACACAGTTTTCCTTCATTGGCCTTCGATGTACCCACACGAGTTCCCCAGGCTTAAACACAAAAACAGCTTTATTTTAATCCGTATGCTATATCCATGAATGTAAACTCAGAATATAATGCATTTCTGATTTACTTGTGACAGATTTGTGTGATCAGTGTAACTTCAGAAAGCCATGTAGGCCTAACCAGTAAAACGAACCACAGCATTTTAAACAGTTGCTAACTAGTGGAAAAAGGGACAGTATTATATAAAACGACATGTCCTTTTAAACACGTCCTGGGTTTGCTACTTATCTGGCCACCTGGGGCTCTTTATTAGTTCTGTGAACTTCAATGAGAGCCCGTTTACTATAGCGGTAGGAACCAAAAACGCTCATGATGTAGTTTCATTCCGGACGGTTTTATTGGTGGGAAACAGAAAAACACACGTAAACTGTTTTGTTGTTGACAGCTGATAGTCTTTTGTGGTGAGCGTGTAAAATTAATTAAATTCTTATAGTTTTTATTACAAGAGATAGATTTCCACCAGCCAGGAATGTTTTATAGAGCTTAATCTCCCGGATGATCGTCGTCGGAAAATAACCGCGGTAATTTTTCCAAAAATCTGATTTTGATGATGATTATTCATGCTATCTGAAAACATAAACCGAATTAATATACTAAATATGAAATATCCCTTATATATCGACATGTATCCCTATAAATGTTCGTTTCTGGCAAATTACCACAGTATCAGCAGTGACTGTTACTGTAAATCAGATTCATTTCGGTTTAAAGATGTGTAAGAGTTATGTTCTTTCGATATATTATTATATATTTTTTTATGTTATGACAACGACTTTGTATACCATGGTGCTGAATGTTTACCATATTCACCATGGTATTTCAAAGCACTTTCATGGTGAACAACATGGTATATTGCCAATGGCACTTCTATAGTTCCATTATGCATTTTGAATATTTTTGTTAGTATATGGACTCTGGTATTGACAGAAACTATGGCTACAATTGTTTATATAGTAAATATGTTATTCATCTGATCATGAACAAATTCTCTTATTCTAACAGAACTCAAAATGACGAGGTGGGCCCGAGCGAACAATGTCCATAAACACAAAGCAGCAGACGCCACACCATGGAAGCAGCTGAAGGCGAGTGGAAATGCTGGAGAAGCAGGAACAAGCGCCGGTGGCCGACACATCAAGCAGGGGCCGGGCGTAAAGAAACACAACCCAAAAAAAAAGAAACGGGAGCATGACAGTGACGACGTGAATGGGTTTCTGGAGTATTTAAAGCAGGCCGGTCAGACGCCCGCAGACCAGGATCTGAGAGAAGAAGTGGCAACAGCACTGAAGAAAGACGTGAGACGAGAGAACAGACGGATAAAGAGACAAAACACCAAAAAGAACAATATGGTGAGGAGCAGGATGCATGTAACATGATTACTATGGGAGCGTTTTTCCACCATGGAAAAAAATAATAAAAACGGTAAATGATTCAATTCTGTCTTTTTTTCCCCTCGCATTTTTGAGTTTATATCTCTTTTTTTTCTTTCAGTTCTTACATTTTTTCTCTCTCTCATAATTCTGAGAAAACCGGCGATATATATATATATATATA